TATCACACTCAGAATTTACAAGTAAAAGATCAAAGGGTTACACCACTGATGAGGATGTATTAAACAAACCTAAGATGCTGTTAAATCTTTAATCAGTTAGAAGGTTTTAATTGATTAACATGTATATGTAAATTTCTGAATTCCTTTCAAGTCACTGTCCTGAGAGAACTAAAGATTTCATCAATCTAACGAAGAGGTGACATTTTAGGGCAGACAATGCATGTTAGGTGTAAGGCCTTGTGTAGAATTGAAAGAACTGCGGATGCTGTAAATCAGAAACAAAAACAAAGTTGCTGGAAAAGCTCAGCAGGTCTGGCAGCATCTGTGAAGGAAAAAACAGTTAACGTTTCGGGTTGAGTGACCCTTCCTCAGAACTGACGGAAGGGTCACCGGACCCGAAACATTAACTCTCTTTTCTTTCACAGATGCTGCCAGACCTGCTGAGCTTTTCCAGCAACTTCGTTTTTGTTCCTTGTTTACAATCTGTTTGATTTGGTTTGGAGTGAAACTGGTTTGATTTCTAAAGAAAGAATTTATAAAATGCCACATTGACTGACTGTCTATAAATTGTGTGCTTTTCGAACAAAATAGAATGTATTTCCCAATATGAGCCTGTTGGACTATAACCTGTGTCATGTGACTTCTGACCTTATGGAAGTACCAGTATTGGACTGGGGCGGACATCACAAATAGCACTAATTCAAATATATCAATAACTAGGGAACTAGCAGTTAGGGATTTTAAATTCAGTTAAATAAATAAATTAGAAATTCAAAAGCTACTATCAATAACAGTGGGAATAAAACAACTGGACTGTTGCAAAACCCAACTAGTTCACTATCATTTCAAACTCAAAAGCAATATCCATGACTCAATCACCTGCTGAAATGGCCAAGCAAGTTACTCAGTTATATCATTGCCCTATGACAGGCTACAACATTTCAGGGCAATTAGGAATCAGCAATAAATGTGAATGTGAATAACTGAGCAAAATTAAAAAGCATCATAGGAACAGGAGTAGGCCTATTTTTAATTCACTCATGGGCTGAGGGTGTCACTGACCAGGCAGCATTTACTACCCATCCCTAGTTGCCCAGAGGGCCGTTCAGAGTCAGCCACATTGCTGTGGGTCTGGAGTCACATGTAGGCCAGATCAGGTATGGATTAGTTTCCTTCCCTAAAGGAACCAGGTGGGTTCTTCTGACAGTCGACAATGGGTTCATTACATTCTTAATTCCAGATATTTTTTATTGAATTCAAATTCCATCATCTGCTGTGGCGGGATTCAAACCCGGGGTGATTCAAAAATCATCTGGATTAGTGGTCTAGTGATAATATCACTAGGCCATTGCCTCCCCTTAAGACTGTGAATGATTGAGTTATCCTCCAAGCTGCACTATCCTGTCTACATCCTATAACCCTTGACTCCCCTGACTATCAAAAACCTAACTTAGCCTGCATTAAGTTTAAAGATGGAACCTTCACTACTTTCTGGGGAAAAGAATAACCCTCAGAGGAAAATAAACCTCCTCATTTCTTAACTGGGAGAATTCTTATTCTTAAAATTTGTTCCTTTCTATTATTTTACCCAAAAAGCATTCTCTTGGTCCACCCCATCCACCCCTCTCATTCATCCAAACACTCATGAGCAAAATCTCAAACTAAAGGTTCAATTTTCATAAGATAAGCTCTTTACCCAGAAATGAGTCAAATGAATCTTGTCTGAACTGTTTCTACAATAATTATACTTTTATTTTAAAAAAAACAAAAATTGTACAAACTATTTCAGAGGAGTTCTCACCAACACCAAAGTTTCCGTACTTTTATAAGCCATTCTCCTTGCAATAAAAGGTAACATGCCATTTGCATTGTTGTGCTCTCATAATACTATATTCAGAGCGTGGCGAACAATTTTGCTAAATTTCATGTTGAACCTTGGTGCTTAAACTACATTAAATTTTTAAGCCCAGACTGTGAGTTTCTAAGTACTTCCTCAGAATGATGAGAGGAATAGAGTCCACAGCATGAGATCTTAAAGGTTTAATCTTAAAATGAGAATGAGGACATTCAGGGGTGATGTCAGGAAGCACTTTTTCACAAAAGGATTAAGCAATCAAGAAATCCCAGCTATCAAGGCTGGGATCAACTGAAGATGCTAAAGAAGAAGCTGAGAGTTTTGTCATGCGAGTGTACTAAGTATTATGAACAAAAGTGGATAATTGGTTTTAAGATGGAGATAGAAGATTATGTACGAAAACACAAGTTGCTGGGAAAGCTCAGGTCTGGCAGCATCTGAGAAGAGAAATCAGAGTTAACGTTTTGGGTCTGGTGACACTTCCTCAGAACTGTTTCTCCTCAGAGCTTTTCCAGCAACTTGTATTTTTGTTTCTGATTCACAGCATCTGCAGTTCTTTTGGTTTTTATATAGATGATTACATATTGGTCTATACTTTTCTTACAATTCAATTTCATTAAATTGGCTTGCTTCAGCTTAAACTCAACATGCACCGCTTAGCTTAATAAATCAAGACATTTTCACTTTAGCATTCAGTATGCGTTGCATGTATTTTTGATTAAAAAGTGTTGACCAAAAACCAGCAACAATACACGATAATTGACAAATGACTTTAGATCAAAAGCAGTGACAGAAACAGATCAGACGGAAGATGCAGCTCTCATCATGTGTTGACTTTGCTACACTTATTTTAGGTCCAATTCCATTTAATAAATCTTGCAGATAGTATACTGCCTTTAGATTTGAAATTGCCAACACACTGCCCCATATGATGTCCTTTAGCAGGCCAAGGTCACAGCATAATCTCTTGCTGCTGCTTTTGCTTTCAAGTTCATACGGAACGGAGTCAGGGAGAAATCAAAATCTTTCAGACTACCAGACTGTCACCAAACCAAACTTTAGGAAATTAAGGAGCATGACCACAAGTAGTCAGAGTTCCTTGAGCTTTAAGGACCATTCCTAGAAGGAGGGGTTTGAGCATTCTGTTCCAGCTCACAACACCACCAAGGCGCCATATCTAACTTGCACAATAGTGTACCACAGGTCAGGAATCCTTCACCTGAAAACCTTGGGACCAACTGGTTTGGATCCACTAAAGTCCATTCAGGGCCTTTGCAAATAAACTTGGTTTAACCCAAACAGACCGAAAAGCAAAGCTATTATTCAAAGGTGCCAAACAGATCTGTAGACATGCTGAATTTGGCGCTTAGGGAAAAAAATTTTACTTTTCGGTCTGTTTGGGTTAAGCATAGTTTTGTTTTAATCTAAAGGGCTGAAATCTGTGTCTACAGGCCTGTACTGGTCTGCTTTATAAAAGACTTCCTGTTTTTAGGTCTTTTCTGCTTTTGTACATATGGATAATGGATACTTGACCTACATTCTGTTACATGCAATATGAAGAAGCCACACCTGGCCAAATAACCTGTCCTGTTGCAGCAACGTCACTGATGAAAATCAGTTTTTCCAAGATGAAGAAAATCAGAAACAAAAATTAAATTGCTCCACGCATGTGTAATAGGAGCAACAATACAGACAGATGAGTGTATGAAATAAAATTTCAGATGGGTAACAGAGTCAAACATTCGAATAATTTGATACTTAGGTGAAATGTTTGGAGGGTGCAACATTGGTAAGCAGAACTGGAGAGTTCTGGTGTTAGAATGAGCAGAGAAGTCACACGGTTATCATCAAATATATTTGTAATCAGAGTCAACTCAAGTGGGCAGCAATGTGGCTCAATGGTTAGTGCTGCTGCCTCATCCTCAGAGACCCAGGTTCAATTCCAGCCCTGGGTGAGCATCTGTGTGGAGTTTGCTCGTTCTCCCCATGTCTTTGTTGTTTTCCTCTGGGTGCTCCAGTTTCCTCCCACAGTACAAAGATGAGATGGATTGGCCATGTTAAAATTGTCCATGGTCTTCAGTGATGTGCGCGCCAGGTGGATTAGCCACGGTAAACGTGTGGTTATGGGGATAGGGTATGGGTCTGGGTGGGAGGCTCTTCCGAGAGTCAGTGGCCTCCTTGCACACTGTAGGGGTTCTAAGTAAACAGTCAATTCTAAACATGATCACAGCCATTCAAGGAAACAGCAACCATTGGTGTAGAATGTGCTTCAAGTCCACCCTTACAACAGGCCTGAGCTATTTTTAATGGCAGGTTTACCACCTGTCCAGGATTTGGTTAGATCAGTTTGCTGAAAGGTTGGTTTGTGATGCAGAGTGATGCCAACAGTGCGGGTTCAATTGCCACAATATGAAGGATTCCCCTTCTCAACCTCTCCCCTCGTCTGAGGAATAGTGATCCACAGGTTAACCGCACCAGTCGTCTCTCTCGAAGGGAGCAGTGCTATGATCGTAGGACTACACTAGCTTTACCTTTCCTATCTGTCCAATCAGTCTGTGGAGGAACCATCTCCAACTTTTGACCAGTTTGAAAGAAAAGGAACAGTCAAATCCTGGTGGTTCCAAACTTTTCATCTACCAAACGGCAAACATTATTTCACTATGACAGACTGAAAATTGGATACATGGCATCATTTTGTTACAATCGCACAAACTCCACATAAACAAAACTGCATATCGAATCAAAAGCACTGACAGGGTAAAAGCCACTTGATGCAAAAAAAAAAGGACAGAAGTGGGTCAAAGTGGCAACAGGAAACAAAACGTTCATTATTGCCATTAGTATATTCCTGCCAAGTCATTAAAAACAGTAAGCCACTACAGCCTGAATAAACAGTAAAGCATCCAAGTCTACATTGAATAATCAACATTTGTTAAGTAGCTAAGTGATTAAATTGCTGTCTGTGCCTGAGCTGAAGTGCAATGCATAACCTCAAAGTACCACAGGAGTGCATGAACGTCTTTCAGATATTAAGTAGTGTTTTGTTCTACGACGCAATGTGAAGATGGAAGGAAAGAAAGATTTCACAACTCCCACAAATCCCAAGATCTAACCTACATCTGCCATGCCACCATTGGTCACCTACCTGTGCGATGTTTTTGTTGAGTAAATAAACTCCATATTCAAACTGAAACCTTTCTCCTCCTCTTGGATACAGAGGGAACCTGTGAATACAAACACAGGAGAACATAGTTAACAAAGTAAGGACTGCAAATAAGCTTACAATGCATTTAGTTTCACATTACTGTATCAGTGGCACAAGTTATAATTCAGCTTTGAACAGAAGATTATACTGAATTCTTACATCACATTCAATTGAGAGAGAAAAACATTAGTGTAGTGAATGCAGTAAAGGCTCTAGCACCCAATAATATCCTGGCTCTAACACTATAGACTTGTGATCCAGACTAGGTATGCATCTAGCCAAGCTGTTCTAGTATAGCTACAACTTTGATCTGTATCAATGTGGAAAATTACCAAGGCATGCTCTGTCACAAAAAGTAAGACCAATTCAATGTGGCCAACTGCTGTCCCATTAGTCTAACCAATCTTCAATAAAACATCAAGGTGTGTTGGAATCTGTTGTCAAGAACTCTCAAATAACAAAATCACAGATGGTGCAGTTTGGGTTCCACGAGGTCGCTTGAATCCAGACGTCACTGCAGTTTTGGTCCAGACGTGAAAAAAAAAGTAACGTTCGGATGTGATGCTAGCATAGCTGTCCTTGACACCAAGACAGCATCCGAGTATGGCATCAAGGAGCCAGGGCAAATTTAGGCCAATGAGAATCCCAAGAACACTCTCCACTGCTTGGAGCAATATCTGGTTCAAAAGGAAGATGGATGTGGTTGTTGGAAGTCAATAATCTCAGTTTGTGGACACTTCTGCAGGCATTCCTCAGAGGAACTATCCTCGCCCCAACCACATTCAGCTGCTTCACCAATGGTCTCCCTCCAATATAAAAGTCAGACAGAGATATTCACCAAGGATCAGCTCAGGAGCAGACAGCAATTTAAATCACTGAGCTACTTTACACATGTTGCATGTTCATTATCGTTCACAATTTTATCCAATACTGTAGCAATCCAAGTCTAGAAGTCCTGGACAACATTCAGACTTCAGTATCAATCTACTATACAATGTAGAGGCTACACAATTGCCAGACAGTGACCATCTTCAACAGAATCATGACATTCAATGGCCTTACCATTACTGAAATCCTCACTTTCAACATCCTGAGATCACTACTGACTAGAAAATTAATTAAACCAGCAACATAAATGCTGTGGTTATAGGGGCAGGGAATCCTCACCACCAAGCTTCCCAAAATCTGTATAATATCCAAATGTAGTTTGATCAGTGAAATAGAGCTGCATTCATTCAGTTAAGTGGAGAACACTAAGTTAAAGACCACCGAGCACAAAGTAGGCCACTTATCAACTTTGTTTCATTAAAAGGTGCTATAAAATATAAATTAAGTATCTGAAGGCTCTTCACAGGAGTATTAAAACACAGAATATGATATTAATCTCATAAGGAGCTATTTGTGCAAATGACCAAAACTATGGTCACAAAGGCAGATTTTAAAAAAAAAAGTATCTTAAATGAGGAAAGTGGGGAGATTGGAGGAGAGGTATGGGGAGGAAACTTTATAACTAGGGCCAAGACAACTGAAGGCAGATCACTAATAGTGCAGCAATTCAAATTGGGAATGCACAGATGGCCAGAGTTTGAGAAGTGCAGATATTGTAAAGAATTGTGGGTGGTGGGTAGCACAGGAAAACAGTATCAATTTAGAATATCAGCTATGTTCTGGTTGAAAGGCCAACCTTGATGCCAAATGGCCAAATCCTGCTTCTAATTCCTACGTTCCAATAGTCTGAGGAGATTAGGAGGAGGGGAGGAACTAAAAACAAAGGTGGGAATTTTAAAATCAATATTGAATGACTAGGAACTAATGAAGGTCAGCAAGCACAGGGGTCATAAAGGGAAAAGGATATGCCATGAGTAAGGATGTAGGCAGATTTAGATGATCTGAATTTTATGGAGAGTCAGAATGTAGCAAACCAGCCAGGGGTTTGTTGGAATAGCCATATTCAAAGAAACAAAATCTTAGTTCAGGATTTCAGCAGATGAGCTGACAGAGGAGCAAAACTGAACAATGTTACAAAGATAGACAAAGGTAGAGTTAAAAATATCACTTGAAATCAGAACTTCAACTGAGATCAAACGCTGCGAATAGATTGGTTTAATTTCAGACTCTTGCCAGTCAGTGGTACACATGAAGTGGGAGGTGGGCAGCAGAGTGTACAACCCACTGAAGCAATGCTCCAAGGTTCCTTCAACAGCATTTCCAAACCTGCAACCTATACCATCCAGTGGGATGGTAGTAGTAGGGACATGATTAATTTCAGGTTCCCCTCAAAGTACACATGAAACTACACCAATCAAACTCCTGGAAGTCGCTTGCCAACAGCTTGTAACTGCAGTAGTTTAAAAAGGAGGCTCATTACTTGCCATTGTAGAGGTAATAGTGATGGGCAATAAATGTTGGCATACCAATGATACTCAGATTATATCAATGGAATTACCCAAAGTTGGAAGTGGGGAGGCAGTGACATACTGACAACGTCAATGGACTGGTAATCCAGAGCCCCAGAATAATGCTCCAGGGCTATGTGTTTGATTCCCACCATGTCTGTTGGCGAAACCCGAATTCAATAAAAATCTGGAAGTAAAGAAATATTTTAGAAAACTAGTCAAATGCCACTGTAACCATCATCAATTGCTATAAACGACTAACGTTCTTTATTGGGACAATCTACCATCCTTACCCAATCTGGCCTATCAATGACTTCAAATCCACAGTTGTTCATCCTAAACTGCATTCTGAAATTGTCAAGCAAGCCACCCAGCTCAAAGGCAATTTAGGATCGGCAACAAATTCTGGTCTTGTCCATGATGCTAACATTCCAAGAAAGAATACGAAAAAGACAAAAGAAATTTAAACAATTGTTTACCCAAAGCACCATTCAATCTCTCTCACTGAAGATTATTTTCTAATCAACCTGTTAAGTGATGTTATTACACACCTCTGGAACAGGCAGGATTTGAACCCAGGCCTCATGGCTGCATGTGTGCTAATAGAATTCAGTTGGGGTACCCTCCGCTGTTGATTAAATTGCTGATATTTACTGACTATGTTCACATAAGTAAAGGGACTACCACTATGAAACCATAGCTCAGTGACAGCCAGTGCTACCGGAAAGCAAGTTTTGTAACTACACAGATCAAATTGTAGTTTACTAGCTCCCAATAATCATGTAACCACAAACTAGCTAACTGACTAAACATTACAACAGAATAAGTTCCACACTGCTGAGGTTAATAACTAAAAGCCCCCCCAGCTGGATTGAGTTCGAAAAACAAAAAAGGGTACAAGAGGTGTTAAAGATTCCTTCTTTAAAAGTCTGTTGAGGCTGGAGAACCGTTTTCAAAATGGCAACCAATTTGGGTTAAAGAAAAAGAATCAGAGGACATGGAGCAATTGCGGGTAAATGGACTTGAGCCATAACATCACGCCGTGGCAGAGCAGCCCCAAGGGGCTGAATAGCCTATTCCTGCTCTCTAGCATTACCACAATTGCTAAGCAACACTGTTTTGCTACATGTGTTATACATGCTTACTATGCAAATATAGCATATATAGACAGAGTGATGTGCTCTGATGCCACAAGTCCATCACAGGAAGTAACTACGGTAGATAACCACGCAATGATGCCAACACAATGACTTCTCCTCCATGTTCTCATCAACTGATGATACAATAACCAAGATGGTGAGTTTGGGGTCTTGCAGTAGTAGAAAAATCCTTTTTAAAACAACAGAATTACCAATTTTATTTTGTTTTGAAGGGGTCCTGCAGCCTGCACACTATTTTGCACTCCACTTGATTCGTATGATGAATGTTTAAACACATCAGCCACCTGAAATAGATGCTATTCAGTTATATTTTAAGAAAAACCCTCAACATTTTTCCTTCCTCTTAATAGTTAATACTTCCTGCCATAACAAATATACCAAAGTTGAACAAAAAAAGGGCTGCTAACACAAAGAATGCAACCACATAGTTACACCTCTTAAGCACAAAGTTACGACATAACTGAGATGCCAACGAAAAAGTGTTTTAGGACAATGAATGCTCTTTTCTACAAAGGACACACAATACTTCAGTGATGCAAATTTTCAAAACTGATTGCAATTATGTTTGATGTAAACAAAAACAAACATGAGTCAAACCATGGATGGAGGAAATGCTGTTGGACTGGTTAAGTTTTTGTTTCACAAACTGTATGACTGTGGGCTCTCCCCTTCAATCACCTGAGAGGTGCTGAAGTAACCAGAAATGACCTCCAAGTTTTAGAATTGCTCAACTTTCAAAAAGTTGAGCAAAACACTATTTTTGATCATGTTAAACAAAGTTATATTACGTCTAAACACACACACCAAGATGATCAGATGCCACACTGTATTCACTGTAATATGATAGGCAGGAAGAAACTAGTTGGAGCCCTTCACATAGAAGTTACGCTATGTGGCTGCACGGTGTACTCTAGACATAGTCTCTATATTACTCGAGTCTTCATTTGGGAGCACTGGTGCTGGTCTCAAAAATATGAAATGGAAGCAAGTTGTGAAAAATCATTGTTGATAACATATCCATCCTCCTGCCTACCCACTCCCAAATTTGTAAATGGTTTCACAGTGCCAATGTCAGATCATTTCACACTGAAAACACTTTTCTCTTCCTACACTTTATTTAAACAGTGATAAATGCAAAACTATGTAACATTGTCATCAATCAATTTTCATCTGACCTATTACTTCCACTCCTCCTGAATTCAAGCCAGTTGCCAAAATAATGGAAAATGAAGACGCCCAAAAACATTTTTAGAAGAACTTTCTAAAGGTTATGCCTCTAACAGTTCAGATACTTGTCTCTTAAAAGAAACAATAATGAATGGGTATATGAAGTTCTGTTCACTCCAGACAGCACAGATAGCACATTTCCTGGGTTATGCAGCTTTACTGAGACTTAAGATAAATGGGAACAAAACATTTTTCACTCACTGGATAGTAAAAGTAAAAACAAACATGCATTTTGA